TTGTGTACCAGGGAGGGAGTCTTTCTTTTACTTTTGAAAGAGAGGAGCGTACTGGGGGGGCGGGGGGAGAGGGCTGGGCGGGTAGAGAAGTGCAGCTATGAATGAATGGAAATCCAAATTCTCTGTAAATGTTCATTAAAATTATTTAAAAAAAATGAAAATTTCTGTAGGGAGCATTGGTGGTCTAGTGGAAGGAAGCAGCACTGTAGTCACAAAGGCATGTGGTTCAAGGCCACCAGATACTGGAAGGGGATGGCGGGTAAGGATGCGCGATCTCCTCCCTTGCGAATTAACTGCCTCTAAAAACCCACCAGAAGGTCAGCTATGGGTTGGTTCTGACTCTGTGGTACACAACATACACACATGTACAGCTTTTTGAGGAAACGCCAAACTGCCATTTTACAATCCCACCAAGAATGTATAAAAATTACTCTTTCTCCACATCCTCTCCAACATTTATGGTTTGCTGACCTGTTAAACATTTTTTTAATTTGAAATACTTTTTTTCCTTTTATTTGTTATTAACAAATTTTCTTCCGCCTCTTCTCTCCTCTCTCCCAGCCCTGTCAAACTTTGCCACTTATACTGGGTAGAGATGATATCTCATTGTGATTTTGATTTGTATCTCTTTATTACTAGTGATTTTAAATATTTTTCTTGTGTCTATTGGCCATCCGAATGGCTTCCTATGTAGAAAGTTTTTCCATGTCTTTTATCCATTTTGCAATTGGGTTATCAATGTTTTTTCTTACAAAGACCCATGCATAAGTATGCTGTAAGCTTTTGTTAGGAGATCCTTGTCTGAGATGATGTTGCCAAATTTTTTTTCCCATTCAGTAGGTTTTCTTTTCACTTGGTTGGAAAGTTTTTGATGCACATAGGGATTTAATCTTTAGAAGGTCCTACTCACCAATGTTATCTTTTCCTGCTTGTATATGCATTTGTTTCCAAATTATGCATACATATGTACATAAATGAATTTTCTATGAATTGTTAAGTTGCATATAAACTTTAAAACACATATATGGAATTGTTGTTTTGATGTGCCGTCGAGTCGTTTGCGACTCATAGCGACCCTATGAACAACAGCTCTAAACCCTGCTCTATCCTGTGCCAATCTCATTGCCTCTGACACACCCATCCCGATTACCCCAGTCACTGAATCAATCCACCTCATAGAGGGTCTTC